GATTGTTCTTGCAAAATATGTGAAGTTTTTCTCTTATCCCTTTTTGTCTTTTGTTGAATATCACATATGATATTCTCATAAGAATCTTTAAGTATAACCCTGTTTCATGATTTCTTGTGTCTTTCGATTTCTAGTCCTGAAGATTTTGGATCAGAAGTGTATGGCTATGCTCAGCACTGTCACTCGTTGCCAAGACATGATAACGTATGCTACATGTTTTTCAACTCATGCTATTCTTAAATAGTATAATTCGCTTAAGAAACTTTTGAATATCTGTGCTAGTGCCTCATTAACACTAAAAAGTTGGGAATTTTCAAGTGCATTTTTTTCTTTAAAACTTAAATTAATCTATATCATGTCCATCATGCTAAATTGAAGATTCATACAATGCTATGTCGTTCGCAATGAAATTGTATTTTTGTCCTCACCATGTCCATCATGCTAAATTGAAGATTCATACAATGCTATGTCGTTCGCAATGAAATTGTATTTTGGTCCTCACAATATATCAAAGTGATCTTTCTAGCTAGTTCCTTATTTATGTAGTTATTTATTATTATTTAATTTTTATAGTTGAATTGGGACTCTATGCTAGATTGCAAGCCTTACCATCTTTTCATAGGAGTGAGTGATACGAGGATGGGTAGTCATCATCACATGGCATTTTCTAGTTATTTTTTTAAATTAAAATTTTTGTTTTGAAGTGATTTGAATCATTTGGTTAGACATATTGGTTGTAGGTGGATCCATGCTGGAAAAGACCTGATGTAGTTTGATTAACCAGTTAATTTCAAAAATGCTGCTTTTATAGACCAGAATTTAATCATTCAGGGCGTTATGTACTTTTTACTAGCTGTTCTATTCTATAAGATTGATGTTGATCAAAGAAGATAGTAGTAGTGTCTTTTAAAGTTAAATGTTGCCTGCACTAATGATTCTATGAATTCATTTCAGTGAGATGATTACCTGTGCTGTTACTGAAGGGGATGACAATCACGGTGAGTGCTTTCACTACTTTGTATAATGTGACCTGTTCTGTTCAAGATTTTAGGATGTTCTGGGAAGGTTCTCTAGTCAAACTATTTGACAGCCTGCTTTTGGATAGTGAGCCCTTGGGGTCAAGAAACAAGTATTTCTTGAGCTTTTGTTTGTTCAGTTTGAAATGGACTACAGTATTAAAATGTTTTCAATCAAGTTGTTTAGAATATTGATTAGATTCAAGTTTGGGAGGTTTGACCTTCTGGATTCCCGGAGTTAAGCAATGCTGGTTATGCGGCACCTTAGATCCTATCACAAGGTAATTTATGTAATTGATTGAAGATAATGGCCCTCGCTGGAAGTAGCATCAAGTTATATAGACAAACATCTTCTCATTGTTGTGTCATAATTCCTTCACAGGAAAATGCATTGGAATGTGTCCAAAGAGTTATAGGAAAACTAGGCAAAGTAACGAGTTGTTTGTTGCCTATGGTTTTAATGAATGCTTATAAAATATAATTCACCTTGAAGTTTGTTTTTATGTTACAGAAGATAGTTCCTCTTTCTTATCAGTTTTTTTTTCTGTTTCCTTTGCCAGAGCTGCTGTTACACATGGTAAAGATTGTGGCATGGTATCTAAAAGTGAGAAGTTAAGAGTATATCATATATTCCTTTACATTCGTTTTTGTTATTTATGGATGACTTAGTGGAATCCAGTGACATGATCACATCACAGTTCATCATCCTGGCAGAAAGCAACTCGATTCCTACATGGGAGATTTTCCAATTGAGAACAGGTGAATTGTGAAACAAGGTATGATTGATGTTATTTAACAGGTTAAAAACTCCTCCTGTAGATTTTTTGCTAACTTTGACAGATAACATCCATTACAACAAAAACAATTAGATAAGACAGGAAGGCCACTTCTCTACTCCCGTCGTTCCATCATTAAATATTAATTTCACTGTGATTTATTATATAATAATGGTGAAAATTGATTGAATAACAGCTGTGCTTAGAAGGATAATATGCATACTGATTTACTATATCTAGGTAGGTGATTAGACTATAATTAGAAGTAATAAGAAACTCCTCTTTTGGAGCCTAATAAAACATTGGTAATTGTTATAATGACAGTACGGAATTTTTTTGTTGGATGTAAACCAAACATATCCCACTAATATTGTGATCATCCACAACGATAAGCAACTTTTTTTTGTTTTTTTAAAAAAATGAAGTTATAACGGCGTTTTTAAACGTCACTATAGAATACCAACGGTTACATTTTGAAAATAAAATTGACCTATCACGGCGTTTTTAAAACGTCGATAAATGAGTAGTGACGTCATTGTACAATTATGCAGCACATTTAGCGGCGTTTTTAAAAACGCCGGTAAGAGCTTTCTGAACTATCCTTTTTGCATATCTGAGAAACTAAAAATTGTGTTCAGATTAATTGTTTTTGTTATCAATTTTACTGAGGAAGAATTTTGGGGATCTCAGGTGGGCTTCAGACAATGAACTCACTGGTAGCATACCTGAATTCATTGGGAATTGGTCAAAGCTTAAAAGCTTGTAAGCAATCTTCTATGTTGTGTTCTCTTTATTTTGATAATCACACTCAAATTATAGCCTTACTTTAAAATAGCAATGTGTAGTAACTGAGATGGAGATGTTCAGTTACAGCACTGCTGGTGGAGCAGCAAACCAGGGTGCTCTTGGACCGTTTGGTTTGTTGGTTCTTGCAGATGAGAGCCTTTCTGAGCAGACTCCCATTTACTTCTATGTTGCCAAAGGAGCTGAGGGCAAGTTGAAGACTTTCTTCTGTGCTGATGAATCAAGGTTTGTTACTCTTTTCATTGTGCACTTGAAACATACTCAATATTAATTAACATTTTTTGTCCTTTATTATAGTTTTATTGGTTATGAGTATTACCAAATTATATAAGTCCATCCTAAGTTGTACTGTTTGATGATTTGTGTGAGTGAAGCGATGGAATTGGAAACCCATGAATCTACTGAGGTGGGACTGAAATAGGCTTTGGAATCTCCCACACTGTCTCCTCCTAAGTTCAGAGCCACTTTGACATTGGAGTGCTGGTTTTTTATGGAGGAAACTTGAGACGGGCTGGGATTATCGGTATCCCAAAAGATGTTAAGGTAAGTTGCATCTATCTGTATACTAGAGGATTTATGAATTATCCTTCTGAAATTTCTGAAATTGCATGTTACTGACAGTTCCCACCTCTGCAGTTTTCAGTTTGTATCAGCTCACAATTTCTTTGTTCACTGATACATTGATGTTAAATTGTTTATAGAAGCTGTGTAAATAGCTTGTTCAATTGCTTATAGCTTGTTCAATTGTTTTCTTTCTTTAATAGTCTTGAGAGGTGTCAGTATTTTGCTGAATCACCATTGATTAATCCTGTTGCAGGTGATTTTGGACTTGCTAAGATGTTGCCATCAGATGATCTTGCATCCTCTGTAAGTCTTGTGGTTAACTGGTTCATTTTTCAAGTTTCAACATTTGCATTAGTTTTATTGTTCAAGATTTCTTTTTCGTAACTCAGGTTGTAGGAACTCCAAGTTATATGTGCCCTGAGCTTCTTGCTGACATACCTTATGGCTCTAAGTCAGACATTTGGTCCTTGGGTAAGTGTATACACAAATGTCACATAAATACATATATAAGTTATAATGCAATCATGAATGCAAGTTGCAACTTGGCATATTTTTGATGCCTATGAAAATTTAGATTTTTCCTCGTGAGGAATTGTGTTCTTATTTGTATATTGTGGCCTTTAATTAGTGTCTTAATCTAATCCTTACTCTATTTTTGTTTTCCAGTCAGGCCCTCATCAAAAGCATGCTGCGGAGAAAACCCAGAACTTCGGCCGAGTTTATTTCCTGTTCTTTATTCTTTTTTTAACACTTTTCGAAAATGTTTTACGTAGGAGAAACATTAATATAAGCATGCGAATGATTTGCCATTGCTTTAGATAATCTAAATGATTACTAATTCATTAATTAGGACTCAGCTAGTTGTGTTTGTTCTAGCTAATATATTGCCATTCATAGTCATCGGCATAAGCCTTTTCTAGTAAGTTTCTCTAATAATTTTAAATCCCTGTAATGTATCTTCCAAAATTCGAAGCCAAGACATTTTTAAGGTACTTATTGGTTTTATGTTTCAATTGGATTTAACTTTTGTGGCTTTGTATATAAGGTAGTAATTTTTTGATTGAGAATTGTGAATTCAATTTTTGGATATGTTATTTTGTGCCAGGCCTTTTTTTTTTTTTTTTGGTTGAGACATGTGGATGTCCTGGTTGACTTTGACCTTATCTGGGTAGTTTAGGACTTTGGTGTGCTCTAGGTTGGGTTCAAAACAACATCTAAGATTTGTTGGCTAAGCTTGCTCGTGCTAGCGACCATGGTGGTCGCGCCCGTAATGGGCCGTGACCAAGTGAGGCGTTCAGGTCAGTGTATGGGGAGAAATTGCGTGGCCTGCAATGGATCGCGAACTAGGCCACGATATTGTAGATCGCGCTCGCGGTTCCATGATTGTGCTCGCAGCCAATGTAAGAAGTAGATCGCGCCCACAACTTTTTCATCGCTCCTATGATGGTCCGATTATATAAGCCATCTATACAAGAGAAAAGTCACTTTTCTGGTTCTTTGTCTCTTCTCTCTCTCTCTCTCTCTATCTCTCTCTCTTTTTCTACCATTTTCAAACCCTTGAGGCTTTCAAGCTTGGGTTTCATCTATTTTGAATGATCTTTACACCCTAGTTCCATATAGCAAAATGTAGAAGGTTGTGAGAGCTTCGATTTAATCTGAGCGGATTGTATTTTCGTCGCCGGTGGATTTTCAGCTTTCTTCTCTTCACTTTAAGAGGTAGGGATTCTTCTGTTCCTTTTCAATACCTCGTCTATAGATAGACATGTGGTAGTTTTTATTCATAATAACCATGTTTTTTATTTATGTTTAGCATGTTAGTTGATTTGGGTTTGAGTTTATGAGTTATGGGTTAAATTGGTGGGTTTATATATGATGTTGAGTATGTTTGGGATGTGGAGTTGGGAAGTCTTAGCTTCTAACCAAGGAAAGAGAAAAAGATAAATGTGGCTTGTGAAGTATAAATGTTGGGTTATGTGAAATATAAACAAATTGGGGATTTTGGGTGAATAATAAAGGAGTATTGTTATGTTGTGTATGTAAAGGTGTGGAAATTGGTTTTCAAAAAAAAAAAAAAAAAAAAAAAAAAAAAAAGGAAAAAAGAAAAAACCTCTTATACAGTAACAATAGTTTCTTCTCCCAGTGTAAAATAATAATAATGCCCCAATAACAAAGGTTATTGGTGGCCAAGAAAATGCCTTATATAAATATAGAATAATATTTGGGAGTTTAACTTGAGAGCTCTAGTATACTCTAATGATGTGGAGAGTGTTCGTGTGAACAGAGGGTCCACACTCCTCTCTCTATCTTTCTCTACTCTCTCTCTCTTCCAACTCACTAGAGCTCCATTTAGAGCTCTAATATTAGAACTATGTATCATTATTGATAAATATATATGTAGTGTTCCAAGTAGTCCTTCCAAGCATTTTCAAAGATTGAAACTTGTTACCACCTCCAACAAAGTATTGAAATTTTGAGATGAGCCCCCTTTTGGTCCAACAGCCTTGAGAGCAAGCTCTTTGAAATGTCCAATTTGCTCCTTTAGTTTCCTCCCTCTTTCATGCGACAAAACTAGTTCAAGGGCATGCATTGTCCCACTTTTTGTGAAGACTCCACCCTCAACTCTCACACCAATTTTCCATACATTTTCCACCATCCATGTGTTGATATGGTGATCCCCAAAGAATGGCCTACCGATCATTGGCACACCTGCTGCAATGATCTCCAACACCGAGTTCCACCCACAATGAGTTATGAAAACTCCGGTTGAGATATGTGCCAAAATTTGTACCTGAGGTGCCCATGCCACAATTTTTCCTTGCTCACTTGTTCACGTCAAGAATCCTTCTGGTAAATGCTCTTTAAATTTGTCTTCCATCGACCAAAGAAATGGAGTAGTGCTTCAGCTAGTGCCACCAACTCATTAGGTGTCGGTTTTGCCAGTGTTCCAATGCCAATGTATGCCACAGAGGCAGGTTTTTGCTTGCCTAGCCACGATATGCAGCCATTGTCGTCTGAATAGGATAATCGTGGTGGTGATGTGAGGTTGAAGGGGCCGACGTTGAGGAATTTGAGGAACTTGGAATTGAGATCTTTGTTGATTTCTGGGTCTAATTCCTCAAATGAGTTTACTAGAACAGCTGTTGCTTTAGGCAATGCTTGTCCCATTTTATGCAACATGATTGAGAAGGCTGATTCTAAGTTCCCAAATATGATTCCACCAGGCAAGTCACCTAGTCGTAGCTCTGGAAATCCTGGGACGAATTTCAGGGTTTCAATTTCGCGTCCTGCAATGCCTGCATTTGAATCCATATGAAGTTCTGAATCATATGGATACTAAACCGAGGTCTTCGCCTAATAATTGTGTAGCACCACTTTGTAATATGAAATTGTGGGTTCAATTTATATGGAAATGAGTTTGAATTTTGTGACCTTTATTTCTTCCCCATTGTGGTGTTTGTTGGGTTTAGTAATTATTGACTTTGTCGGCTAGTAGTTTGTTTGTTGTAATATTTTTCATACTTGTAATTAGTTTCTTATTTATTGGCAAAAATAAAATAAAAAAATAATATGGATGCAAAGCAAAAG